ATTACAGGCACGCGCCACCATGCCCAGCTAATTTTTTGTATTTTTAGTAGAGACGGGGTTTCACCATGTTGACCGGGATGGTCTCGATCTCTTGACCTCGTGATCCACCCGCCTCGGCCTCCCAAAGTGCTGGGATTACAGGCTTGAGCCACCGTGCTATGGTATTTGTAAGCCTCCTTTCATGGCACTGGTGGGAGTGTCTCTCAGCATGCTAATGGTATTATAATTAGCATATAATGAGCAATGAGGACAACCAGAGGTCACTTTCATCACCATTTCGATTCTTGTGGGTTTTGGCTGACTTCTTTTCCACATCCTGCTTTGTTAACAGGGTCTTTATGACCTGTATGTTGTGATACCAGTACTGTCAACCTCTGATGTCATACTGTGACTAAGAATGCCTAACCTCCTGGGAATGCATGAACACCCTTGCTATGACCTATAGTGCTCACAAAAGTTATGCTCAGTTGGCACTGTCCACCACCATTATCTACTAATGCTCCCCTTGTCACTGGGAGCTGCAGGAAACAAGCACGTACATGAGAGGGTCATCGTTAGTCCATTCCTGGAACTATCTCACACATAGCTGGAGAAAAGTATCAAGTTTTGCCACCTATCAGATTTCTTCTCAATTCACCTTCCTGATATAACACAGTTACTAATACACAAATTGTACCATTATGTAAAGAGCTTGGTAGGATTAGCAAGATTCTGTGCCAAGCAAGATACCAGGGCCCAGATGCCTCTATGAATTGTTTCTCAATTGGTTTAAAAAGATGAGAAAGCTTGTTTTCTCTTTTTCTTTTAGAAAATTTCTTATGGATTTTATTTTTAATTAATTAGTTATTACTATTATTATTTGAAATGGAGTCTTGTTCTCTCACTCAGGCTGGAGTGCAGTGACAAGATCTCGGCTCACTGCAACCTCTGCCTCCCAGGTTCAAGCAGTTCTCCTGTCTCAGGCTCCAGCGTATCTGGGACTACAGGCACCTACCACCACACCTGGCTAATTCTTGTATTTTTAGTAGAGACAGGGTTTTGCCATGTTGACCAGGCTGGTCTGGAACTCCTAACCTCAGGTGATCTCTCCACCTCAGCCTCCCAAAGTGCTGGGATTACAGGTATGAGCCACTGCACCCAGCCTATTTTTTATTTTTATTTTTTAACCCTGAGGCTGAGTTCCAACCTGATATTCTAGGACCAGGTTGTTAATGGGTTTTGCAGAAATGAGTGTTCTTAACTGATTTTCTGTAGTACTCACTGAACTTTTGTTCCCAGAAAATGCTGAGTTTTGGTCAGGAGCTAATGGCAGAAATCTTTTCTAGGTATGTGATTTATATCTACTCTTGGACTAGTCTACGCCCCCTTCTTATTTTGCAGGAGGCTTGCTAAACTGGCATTCTACTGCATATAATTTTAAACCAGCTTTATGCAGTACATCGGTTTAGGTCCCAATAGGAAACAGATGGCATACTTAAATTAGGATAATTAGAGAAGAATTTATTTACAAAGAGACCATGACAAAAATATGTATGATGAGTGGTGGGACCATAAGAAAGGATAGTGCAAGAACCTAAGTCTTGAAGCAGTGAGCAGTTACTATTCCTAGGCCTGACGGAATAAGATGTAAGAGCACCTGGCAGGAAAGTCAGATAAAAAGACCTCTTCAATGCACTGATCTCAGTCTTTTCATATGCTCTGATCTCCTATGAAGGTCCAGTAGCAGAACCCAACTTGATAAGCCAGAGGGAATAGGAGTGCATTGATGCAGTTCACATGAGTTCAATTCCCAGGGCACAGAGTGGGGTGGAAAGTGGCGCTGGAGAAGCACACCAAAGATATCTGTCACACATGGAAAGGACAGGATTGAAATTAATTCATTCCTTGATGTACTTTGCAAATAATGTCCCAAAGATAATGATGTCCTCAGGTACTCTGCCTCTTTTACTCACTACTTCTCTATTAAGCATGGAAAAATGAGGATCACGAGCCCAGGAGTTTGAGACCAGCCTGAGGTATATAGCAAGACCTCACCTCTACAAAAATTAAAAAAGAAAATTATCTGGGCGTGGTGGTGCACACCTATAGTCCCAGCTACTAGGGAGGCTGAGGCAGGAGGATCACTTGAGCCTGGGAATTCAAGGTTGCAGTGAGCCATGATCATGCCATGCCACTGCAGACCAGCCTGGGCAACAGTGAGACCTTGTCGCAAAGCAGAGCAGAGCAGAGAGCAGAGCAGAGAGCAGAGCAGAGCAGAGCAGAGCAAAAGCAAAGCAAAGCGTTCTTGAGATCCTAGAGAATCATCTTGAATTGATCCAGTCAGATGGTGATAAGCACTGTTTTCTCCTTTCTTAGCTTACCTGTATTTCATAGTACACAATCTGTTCAGCTAACACAGGGTTGGGCTCACTGCAGAAGGGGCAGGAGGGGATGGGGGAAGGAATGAAAAGGAAGGCTAGAAACTGGGAGTGTGTTAGATGGGAGAGGCAGCCATGGAACTCTACAGGCCAAAGCCCCAGAGCATCAGGAGTTAGTGGCTGTCTCTAACCCTGGCTAAGATGCCCTGCCACAGCATGACTGCCAGACTGGGACCTTCTTGCTGGGATCACCATCTTGGGAACTTCCACGATTTTGGAAATTAGAGCTTTTTGCTCAGATGGCTACAGCATGCTGAGCATACTTAGGAGTGGCAAAGACAGGCAAGCCTGGGGTTTAGGGAAGACACGGCATAGGATGATGGTTAAGAGCTCAGATGCTGAAGCCAGACAGCTGGAGTGTAGATTCTGTGTCTGCTTCTTACAGCCTCTGTGACTTTGAGAAAGTTATTTAACCTCTCTGTTTTTCGGTTTCCACACCTGTAAAATCGGAACGCTAATAGTAATATGTCCAGGGGTCTTAAGATGAGTCAATGAGTTAGTACTGGCCGAGTTCTTAGAAAGAGCTCAGCATAGAGAAAATACTATATACATGTTTCTGAAATCAAACTTGAATATCCCAATTTGCTAGGCCTCTTCTCGGGCCTGCCCATCCAGAGAGATTCTTGAAGTTGGTGGCATTTTCCTTCCTGTCAATGCACATCTGGCAGACTGTTCAAGGCCATAAATTTGTGTGGTTATCAGGGAGGGATGGCCAAATTGCCTCTAAGAATAGACCCTCCTGTGAATATGGAAGCTTAGCAATTCCCTGTCCTTTCAAAATGGGAAAGGAGTAGACTCCTGACATGAGCAATGCCCACTTCTATGATACGTGACTACCAAGAATATTGCTAGTCGAGGCTGAGTAGGGTATTCTGACCTCCTGCCCATTGGCAAGGTTTGATTTGCCCTTTTTGGCATTGCGGGACACTACCTATACCTGAAGTATGTTCTCGGCTGAAGAATATTCTTTATTGACTAAGAGCTAATTCTGCCTTGTGTTTCATAATCTGAATTCTGAAAGTCGAATAGAAATGGGATGGAGTAATTCTTGTATCTGAACTTTTGGGTTCTTATTAGGAGGAGTCAGTGGCCTTTCACCAAAGCAAGAAGTTTCTGCAAAACACACACCAGCTTGTTCAAGAAGATCCTGTTGGGCCTGTTGTGTTTTGGTGAGATATTGAGAATGCATGAAAGTGAGAAACACAGTTATTTTAGAAATTTGCCTTGTGTCAAAGTGATTGCCAGGCGGAAGGCACTTTTATTCAAAACTGATCTAAAAAGCTATTTGATGTATTAACTACTTGTAGGTGAACTATAATGTATTGAATTGAATTTACAGGAACAAGTAAAATCTGAAAATAAATTATTTTTCAAAACTATACTATTTGATAAATTTAAAATATTTCAGAGAATGTGGGCTTATCCTTTTTTGAGTGCCTTGATTTGGTGGAGTGCATGATTCTTGTAGCCTTTATGAGAGAAGCCTGTATTATATGTTACTTATTTGCTGGTTTACTAGTAAGATCAATGATATAAAATATGTTTAAAAGACAGCAAAGCTCTGTTTGAAACATACTATCAGTGGTATATGGGACTTTGCTGTAAAAATAGGAGGTAGCTGGGATGGTGGGAACAAAAATTATATTTTGAGATGAGTAAGGGAGTCATGGGATGAGGTCCACATGGTTGTGCTTCCCAGCGGTAGCCTTGTTTACATGGTTTGTTCAAGAGGAAATGTTAAAGTGACAGGGGTAATAAAGTTTCAAGGGGAGATGACTGACTTCTGAAGAGTCTAATGGTGGACACTGATCAAATTTATTCTAAGGGATAGAGAGACAATATTTGATAAAATAAAAGGAAGTGAGATTTAATTAGGGACCAGTGAAAATAAGCAGTCTTTGCACTAAGTCAGACATCTATCTTGGCCTCGAGAAGTACAGCTCTGTCTGACCGTAGGGCTGGATGGCAAGGTCTCCAGAGGGTTTTTCTTGCTGTAATCCCGGACAATCATGACTAGAGTTTCATTTGCGCATTGGAAGTGCCTTACTGATCCTTATTCTGTGTCTTCTCTTTTTAGCCTACGCTGCCTATTTCCTGGCAGCTTGCATCTTGAATTTCCAGAGGGCACTGGCCTTGTTTGTCATCACCTGCTTGGTAATCTTTGCCCTGGTTCTCCCGTTTCTGAAAAATCTCCTGGGCAAAAAATTAACAAGAGGTTTGAAGCCCTTTGAAAACTCCCGCCTGAAGCTTTGGATGAAATGGTAAGATAAGAATCTCAATAGCTAGCCTCACAGCTTATTCCCATCCACTTCTTTTTTTCTCTTTTGATAGTTGCTGATCAGTCTCTCAGACCTGCACATATGCTTTCCAGAACCAGGCGCAGAGAAAAATAGCAACAAGCCTCTGAGCACAGGACCTCAGTTTAGCTTCTTGTAGCCTTGGGTCTCAACATTGCTAGGGTGCAGGAGAAGTTTTTAGTTTCAGAGAAGAGTTTTAGTCTGACTGTCATCAAGGCCTGTGTCAGAAATGAGAAAAACTATAGTCCTCTTCAGTGAAATAATCAGAACATAGAGCCTTGGAGCTGCATTAAGTGATCAAATTGATTTGGTGGACGTTGGTGTCTCCCTTAGTTCCTACTTTTTATGCTTTTTTCCCTCTAGTCTCTCAGACTTCCTGCACCCACTGGTGCCTTTTAAAATTCCCTAGAGTTTAAAGAGAAGATTTAGAGTTGTATATATTCTGAACTGGATTTGACAGCAGCCACAGCTCTAACAATGGCATGCACATGGCCTTTGATTACAGGCCAGGAGTGAGAGAATAACTTTCAGACTCTATATGTTGTTTTTCATTCACTGAGTTGATGATGTGGTCCTGGCATTCTTTCTTTAGGGTGTTTGCAGGAGCCTCCTTGGTTGGCCTTATACTGTGGCTGGCTCTAGACACAGCCCAAAGGCCAGAGCAGCTCACCTCCTTCGCAGGAATCTGCATGTTCATCCTCATCCTCTTTGCCTGCTCCAAACACCACAGTGCAGTGAGTGTTGGGTATTTGGGTTGGGTATAGCAACACATGGCTAAGGGCCAAGTGCTAATCATAAAGCATACGCATCAAATATTAATTACAAGGGCATAGAACTAAGTTCATAACAACCCCTAGAATTTACCTCTTGGACAATTTTGTTCCTAAGAGAAGTTTAAAAAATTCTCAGAGGACCTAGACCACTTATTTTCAAACTGTAGATTGTGATCCATTAATTCATCTTCATATCAATTTTGTGAAACTAGGCCAATGTTAAAGAAAGGACAAAAGAAAAAAAATAAGGAAGGAAAGAAAATAGAATACAGTAGAAAATCAGTTTGCATTGCACTTAGTACTATTAAAATAATGGTTTATGACACTTTTATTTGTATGTATGTATGCATATATATATGTGTCATGAAACCTCCAGATACATTTTTTTAAAAACCCTCTGGACATATGTGGCTTTTTATATATTACTGCCCTGTTTCTCCCTACCATTGCCCCTGCTTCCTACACCATGTGACCCTAGACTTACTGTTAACATTCTAGGTTGGTTCCACCCAGGATACATGTTTAAAATTCCAACCACATAATGCACAAGTAGAACTCACATTGGAATAATTTTCTTATTGATCCTAGGTGTCCTGGAGGGCAGTGTTTTGGGGCCTAGGCCTTCAGTTTGTCTTTGGGATCTTGGTTATCAGAACTGATCTTGGATATAACGCATTTAAGTGGCTGGGAGAGCAGGTTCAGGTATGAGAAATTAAATGTGAGGGCTTTTCTCTTTTAGAATCCTAGAAAAAGGAGATTTGAGGGGAGCATGAGAAGATTTAGCTGTACCTTGTGAATGATGTGATGGGAGATCTGGTTGGGAAAGGAGAGAGTATACCAGGATACAGCTAAGAATATAAATAAAGAGCTCATGGGGGCATAGCCTACCCCTGGGCTGTCAAAGGGAGGCCAGCCTAAGCAACAACAGTAAGTCCTCAGAACACATGGGGCTGGTCTCATCTTTCCATGTGTCCTTTTGGGTTTCAGTCTTGTTCTCTGCCTTTTTCTTTTATTTTCCCTTCAGATTTTCCTGAATTACACTGTGGCTGGCTCCAGTTTTGTCTTTGGGGATATACTGGTGAAGGATGTCTTTGCTTTTCAGGTGATACCTGTTTTATGGGCAGAAATGATGGTCTATGGAGGGGTAGAGGAGTAAAACAGAGGCTGAAAGTGTGTATCCAAGATATCAGCCCCCCAGTATACCAATTTGACCCTAAGAAGAGGGTTTAACCCCATCAGTAAAGGAAACGGCATCCATCTCTTTCTCTTTGGTCATTGCCACCCTAACATTGGATGAAATGGAAATTGGGAGAAAAGGCTCAGAAAACAGTTTGTAGTTTAGTGCTGATGGGACAATGGATTTAATATATTTTAAATGTATTCCTAGATTAGTTTGTGTAGGTACTGAATACCTACACTGTATGAGATACCCTTGGAATGCTAAGAGCTTAACTTAGAAGCCTAAAACACAGTCTATTTATGGTCTACACAGAGTATGCAATGTAACATGTCATCACCTGCTCACCATTCTCATTACAGGCCTTACCAATTATCATTTTCTTTGGATGTGTGATGTCCATTCTCTACTACCTGGGCCTTGTGCAATGGGTAGTTCAGAAGGTGAGTCGTTTTCCTATACCAGTCAGGAGACGCGGGCCTTCCTCTTGTCATCTCTCAGCTTTGGAAAAATGCCCATAGCCATGATTTACAGTGTTAGAAACAATGGGAAAAGGCAGACCCTCTCAAGAATGCCTGACAGCAAACAGTCAGCTCAGACCCTAGGTAGGCTGACGACAGGGCAGAGAGAGAAGATGAGCTGGACTGCCTTTCATACTGAGTTTTAATGTACTTGTTCTAAAGGTCATGAGTCCTGAGTTCTGGTTAAGGCTCTGCAAGTTGGTTTTTGGCCTCAGCTTGCTGCACTACTTCTCTAGGCTCAGTTTCCTTATCAGTAAAATGGAAGAGGAGAGGTTTTGCGTGACGGTCTCCAAGATTCCTAACATTAATGGTTTAGGTGTCTGTATTCTTCTAGGTCGCCTGGTTTTTGCAAATCACTATGGGCACCACCGCCACAGAGACCCTGGCTGTGGCAGGAAACATCTTTGTGGGTATGGTAAGCACCTTGAGGCCTTTTGATCTTCTTCCCTCTAAGGAACTGATAATTTGGCACAAAACAAGAGTATGCTTTCCTTCTGAAAAGTCAAATAAATGAAGACTGTGGGGCAGCCAATCTTGGATGAGAAAGAACTCAACAGCACAAAGGAGACTCTGCTCATTGCATTCACCCTTTGTGCCTAATCATACTTTCCTGGGAATACTTAATCTGGAGAGATAGCCTTCACCACATTCTTTTTTTGGGGGGAGGGCAGGGCAAGTTTTGCTCCTGTTGCCCAAGCTGGAGTGCAGGCCCAATCTTGACTCACCACAACCTCTGCCTCCCGGGTTCAAGTGATTCTCCTACCTCAGCCTCCCGAGTAGCTGGAATTACAGGTATGTGCCACCATACTCGGCTAATTTTTGTATTTTTAGTAGAGATGGGGTTTCTCCATGTTGATCAGGCTGGTCTCGAACTTCTGACCTCAGGTGATCCGCCTGCCTCAGCTTCCCAAAGTGCTGGGATTACAGGCGTGAGTCACCACACCTGGCCGCCTTCACCACTTCTAACCACGACTTCCTACACAGGAATGTAGGGAATGTCCTGGTCCAACTCATATCCCTCTTCGGAGGCTATAAAGGGTGTTTGATCCTCATTCTGGTTTCTCCCTGTGACTCCCTGTGGTGCTTGGTTTCCAGGGTCTCTAAGGAAGAAAAAATCACTTGTCTTGCTCATGGCTAACACCAAGGCCTCTTCCACATAATACTTGCTTGATAAACTCATCTGTATGGAGTAGGTGCTCCATATGTGTTACTGACTGACCAGCTCAATGTTGGGGACAATGACTTGTCACATTCACAGGGAGTTAGTACTGAGGTCTTTCTCTCCCAAGGCTCTAGGCTGCTTCTGAAATGTTCTCAGAGTACTTCTGGATACTTTATCATAGCACTCCAAATTTTGCTGAAATTATCCATAATCAGCCTAGTTTCCTCTGTGAGACTATAAGCTTCTAAGAGCAGTGACTTTGCCTTATTCATATTAATGTCCTTAGCATCTAATACAGTGTTAAGCACATAGTTGGCATTTGTGAAATAATAGATACCATTGTCTTAAGTCAGTGCGAGATATGGCTTACATAGTTGGGTCTTCATAATTTCATAACATTATCACAAACATTATTTCTTTTGCTTATTTCATAAACAGGGGGTTTGGATCATCTATATGCATTTCATTTAATGAGTACTGTTTAAGCATCTAATATATTCTCATTAAGTGCACTGCATTCCATAAGTTCAGTAAGTGTGTGGTTTTAGACACTGAGAATATATAAAGAAAATATACTATTTCTCTTCTATAACTTTTGTGTTTTTGAGATGGAGTCTCAATCTGTCGCCAGGCTGGAATGCAATAGTGCAATTTCAGCTCACTGCAGCCTCTGCTTCCCAGGTTCAAGCGATTCTCCTGCCTCAGCCTCCTGAGTAGCTGGAACTACAGGCGCAAGCCACCGCACCCAGCTAATTTTTCTATTTTTAGTAGAGGTGGGGTTTCTCCATATTGGCTAGGATGGTCTCAATCTCTTGACCTTGTGATCTGCCTGCCTCAGCCACCCAAAGTGCTGGACTACAGGTGTGAGCCATCATGCCCAGCCTTCTGTAACATTTTAACATGTCAATAGATGAGACAGGCATATATGGAAACAGGTGAGAACTGTGACAGCCAGGACATGATTGGGTGCTAGAAGAAGTAAGGCAGATGTTGGATGGGCCTGACAGCAGGGTTCTGTGCTCACTAAGTGAAGCTGTACCTCACTGAACAGTGCTCACACTGGATGGACGTGTGTCTAGTAGGTCCAGCCCCTGGGGCTGGGGGGTGGGCACTCTGGTGTGGGGACTTGCACCTTCTTGGAATCTATTTTCTCCCTGTTTGTAGACAGAGGCACCTCTGCTCATCCGTCCCTACCTTGCGGACATGACACTCTCTGAAATCCATGCGGTGATGACTGGAGGGTTTGCCACCATTTCTGGCACTGTGTTGGGAGCCTTCATATCCTTTGGGGTAGGCACAGTCTGCTTGATCACTCCTGGGTAAGCTTGAGTTGGGTTTGATAGAAACACTGATGCCTAAGTCTGGCCTTACAGGTTGATGCATCATCCCTGATTTCTGCCTCTGTGATGGCTGCCCCTTGTGCTCTTGCCTTGTCAAAACTGGCATATCCAGAAGTGGAGGAGTCCAAGTTCAAGAGTGAGGAGGGGGTAAAACTGCCCCGTGGGTGAGTCCAAGGAGGCAAAAATACTTTGAGAGATGGTGAGCTGCAGTTAAGAGTGGCACTTTGGTGGTAGAGACTTCACGTCTCCCTGAGGGGGAATAATGCAATTCCATATTCCTTCTTGCCTATCTCTGCTGCTTGCTAATTATGCTGGTTTTCTTCATTTAACCCTCCCACCTGGCACTAGCTTCTGTATGCCACTAGCTCTCTATCCTTGCCATCAGTGCAATTATATGACAATTATATCTGATACTGCTTCAGAGTAATTTCCACTAATAGTGTCACTGAGGAACTCCTGTCACCTTCTACACTGGCCTTGCACCCTCCTCCTGTACAATAGGGACAGTAGGATATCTCTTCTCTGAGGGGCTGAGACTACTCTAGATACCCTACTCTTTCCCTCTGCCCAATAACCACAGGAAGGAGAGGAATGTCCTGGAAGCTGCAAGCAACGGAGCCACAGATGCCATAGGCCTTGCTGCTAATGTAGCAGCCAACCTGGTTGCCTTTTTGGCTGTGTTAGCCTTCATCAATGCTGCCCTCTCCTGGCTGGGGGAATTGGTGGACATACAGGGGCTCACTTTCCAGGTAAATGATTATGTTTGTTGGGCTGTCTCTGGGATGTGGTTAGGTAGCCCTTCAACCATGCACATCCTCCTGACCCACAGTAAGCTAAGAGACAGCATGAATAGAAGGGTGGAGGAGATTGGGCCAAGGCTCCAGAGAAGGTCCTTGGTACCTGACCTTTGTTATTAGTGCTTCTTTTTCCTAGGATCTCTCTCTTTCACTCAGGTCATCTGCTCCTATATTCTAAGGCCCATGGTTTTCATGATGGGTGTAGAGTGGACAGATTGTCCAATGGTGGCTGAGCTGGTGGGAATCAAGTTCTTCACAAATGAGTTTGTGGCCTATCAGCAACTGTCTCAATATAAGAACAAACGTCTCTCTGGAGTGGAAGAGTGGATTGAGGGAGAGAAACAGTGGATTTCTGTAAGTGACAATCGAAAAAGCATAAACACTGTGAGGTCTCAGCCATGATTATCTGAGGGTAGACAGAAAGTGCCACACAGGTATGTTGCAGACCCACAGATACCTTTCCAGGGTCGCAGGCCTAATTACAAAGCAAACAGAAGAGTATACCTAGCAGGCTCATCTGCAGTGCCTGAGCTATTATAGGGATGCATGCTATTACCCGCCATACCCCCCAACCACCGCCCCAACTCTGACCCAACTTCTCTCTATAATTAATCGCTAGGTCTTTACAGCTGGGGCAGTCCAGGGCAGAAACTGTCTTTTGATGGTCTATGGTCTCCTTCTTCATTTTAAGTTTAAATTGCTCCAAATTAACATTCTTTATCTCTTCCTTTTCCTCTCTCCTCTTCCTTCATAATCCTTCTCATTCCAAGGCCTTCTCTTTATCCATAGCCTTCAACAAGAACAGCGTTGGGCAGTGAGGCCCATGGTGGTTTCCATGTCATTATCCCTATAGTAACTCAGGAAACCAGTTATTTTCTGAGCATCCTTTCATATTCCTTGGGAAACCATGGAAAAGACTGGGGGCTGTCTGTACTCTAGAACTTCTATTTTGATTATAAGACTGCATAAATGGGACTGAATTTATTTGCTTATTTATTTTTGTTTTCCCCAGGTGAGAGCTGAAATCATTACAACATTTTCACTCTGTGGATTTGCCAATCTTAGTTCCATAGGAATCACACTAGGAGGCTTGAGTGAGTTCATCCATTTTCCCAGCTCCCCAGTAAGGGCCAGAGCCCAGCTTCTGTAGCAGGCAGTCTTAGTGCTTCAGTACAAGTTGGGATCAGATAAGGAAGCCGATGTGAAATGGACCCATTTCTTAGACTGTAATTGACTTGGACCTAATTGGCAGTCATGCTACCTGGCTACGCACAGAGCCCTAATCTCAAATTAAGTTACTTTTTTCCTTTGGATTGGAGGCCTCAAAGGCTAATTTTATTTTCATTTTCTCTATGAGGAAGAAAACATAATGATATTATTTCTATTTTGTCATTAAATTGGAATAGAGCATATATAAGATCTCTCTTCCTCCCTCCCTCTCTGCTGCCTCTTTCTCTCTCTCTTTTCTTTTCTTCTTTCCTTTCTTTTTGACAGTCTCATTCTGTTGCCCAGGCTGGAGTGCAGTGGTGTGATCTCAGCTCATTTCAACCTCCACAACCTCTACCTCCTGGGTCCAAGCCTTTCTCGTGCCTCAGCCTCCTGAGCAGCTGAAATTACAAGTGTGTGCCACCAAGCCCATTATTCTTTTTTTTCGTATTTTTAGAAGAAACAGAGTTTCACCATGTTGGCCAAGCTGGTCTTGAACTCAAGTGATCTGTCACTGTGGTCTCCGAAAATGTTGGGATTACAGGTGTGAGCCACTGCACCTGGCCTCGTATTTTATTCAGTAGTGAAGACACTTTTTTTTTTTTTTTTTTTTTTTTT